AGTTTCATGTGTAGATATATAGGATATCTACCATGTAGTTGAAATGGTAGTGGTTGGCCATGATTCTACTTTTGATTTGATAAGTATTAATTATATATATTTTTGTCACAATTAAGTACACGAATCACATCATGATTTGCTTTATCAAAAAAATTTAGCTTTATCCAATTTGGTTGTATACGTTTCTTTCATTCCAATTTCACCAAAATTCTATTGTCTTTCTCAACTATAAATACAATGACAAAAATCTCATCATTGACTACCAAAAATAAATACAATACATATGGGAAAAAGAGAGAGAAAGGAAGAGAGAGAGTAGCATTGGAAATAAAGTTTGCATACACCGAATATTTTAATCATGTATTTTTCAAAGCGGAGAAAAGATTTTGAACGTGCTTCAAATTTTTCTAACAAAGTAAGATACTTTAAGTGCAACTGTTTTTCTTTCCTTATGTGTTTATGTTCAATAAAAAAATTGCATGGATTGCCAGTAGACATTTTTTTTTTTAAGAGATATGAAATCCTACAAGATTATAAGAGGACCTAAGATGGGTGTGTCGTTTGGTCACCAATATACTCCATAAGATCAGATGGCATGAATTGTAATTTTTATTGTTATATATATATATATATATGGAAACTGCACGTATCTTACTGGACATTTTCTAATACTCACTCTTACAAATTTTTACAAGTTAGTACGGGTCGATTGGAATTGTGGAAAGGCGGTAATGCGAGCTACCAAGTGGATCAAATGAAAAGAAAAAGAAATAAGTTTGTCGTTTTTAAATTTACCAATTAGTTTAATTTTGTTCCAAACGTGTTATTTGAATCAGTTAGGAGTTTATGTTATGTTTTGGATGAAATTTTCATATTTTAAATTTAGATTTATAAATGTTGCAATTATTTTTTTAATAAAGAATTTTATTTTATAGTTCCGCACTTAAAATAAAGAAAAATGAGTTTTTTTGTAACGCTTTGGAGTTTAATGAAAATTTGGGCGTGTATCAAAGTACGGTTTGACTTTTCTGTAGACTTGCTTTTGAAAAAAAAATTCTGGAACAGTTCAAGTGAACAGTAAAAAAAATTTTTGAAAAAAGAAAAAAAAAATTGAACAGTGTTACGTGAACAGTAAAGACAAAATAAATAAATTGTTTTACATGACATGGCAAAGAGTACTAGGATTTTAAATATGATGTGACATACTTTGAATATTGCAATTTTTTTTGTTGTTATAGATTTTGTCTCATTTTGTAATAGTTTGGATTATCATTCATATCAATACCCATTTATTTTTATGCATTTGTCTCTTTATTTTGAAGAATAAATGATTGTTTAAATTGATTTCGAGTAATAGTAATTTAGAATTTAAGTTGTTATATGTTCATGCCTATGGTTTAAATCTTACATGTGATAAATTTTTATGTGTTTTAACTTTGGCCTTTGGGGATGTTTTAAAAAAATGGACCTTTGAAAAAATTAATGCTTTAAGAGATTTCACATTCGATTTATTGTTTGAATTTTGTTGAATTGTGTAATTGTAAAATTGAAAGACTTTGTCAAAAAGTCCTAGACTGTCTAAGAAGAGTTTGGGATTTAAGCTATCCAGTTGTGACCCCCTCCTCATCTGGAAGCCTTTTAATTGTGCGTTATTCAAATCGATAAGATGAAAGACAATATTTTGGACAATTCTAAATTTAAGTAAATTCAAAATTTTGAAACTTCTATTTTGAGTAAATTTTGTTAAAAGATATATACATGTATAAAAAATAATAAAAAATAAAAAATTGGGATTACATACCTTAATTAATGAAAGATATATATATTATAATAATAAAATGGGATTTTGTAAAATTTTTTATGTAAAATGGGATTACATGCCTTAATTAATATGTAATTTTATACATACTTTGAAGCAAATCTTTCAAATGTTAGTCGACAATTACCTTAAGTAAATATTAATATTTATAATATAAGTGGTTGTTATGTAGCTCGATTGGTACTTATGTGTTATTGCTATGATTTTAATTTCAAAGATGTATATGTATGTATTATATGCTTGTGTTTAAATAACCATTTATAATGTGACTTTAAATAACGATACTGTTGTTAGGAACTTTTACTTCTTGACTTTTTCTATTCTAAGAAATTCATGAATAATTATAGTCAAACTATTAAAAAAAATGAAAATATGGAGTTTAAAGGATAATGTAATTTTTTAAAAAAAGAAATAATGTTATAAGAACACTTGGCACGTGGTGCTCACCATTCGACCACTCTCCAATTGATCTTGGGTATGAAATAAATTCGTTTTATTCTTAATTTCTAGCATGGTTATGAGTCATATTTCTACATGTTATGAAATGTATAAGCATGTTCACCTCACATAATTAAATTGTCATTTTTTTTTTCATTTTACTGGACTATCATTTATGCACTGGAAAAAAAATATAAAATAAAATAAAATATTTATAATGCAAGATTAAACATAATTGAAATTATACTTTTCATGTGATTAGGATGACTAGGAATCACCCAACATACCTCCAGCGTGCTGAAATGGTTATTGAGAACTATATAAATTATGAAGTAAGATGAGAGCAAACTTTTGTGAACATGTCGAAGATTCCTTTCTAAGTGGGAGCGAGCAAGATCGTTCGTTATAATGAGGGGACAGTCCTCTCCATATACCACCTTATAAGCACTATACGACCTCAATGGAGAGACTTGACTTACTTCATGAGGAATATGAATTATGGGTTATATTTGGAAGAAGATTGGGATAATATTGATTTTAAAGGGTATTGTGAGGATATCATAATTTTATGGAATCATAGACAACAAGCATCGGCGCCCGAGCCCGAACTTGAGCCAGAGCCAGAGCCAAATCCAGAGGAGGAGTCGAAAGAAGACCCAGAGGAAGATATCGAACCAGAGCCGGAAGACCCTGAGCAGGAAATCCAACCAAAAAATTTCCTTGATTTGATTGAAGATTTCGAGTTAGAGTCATGCATTACTTCAGATGATGAGATGCCATAAAAGAAGATTTTTTTTAGGACTCACAGGGATTAGAAATAAGTATTATTTATTTACTTAGGAAAAGTTTATTGTTTATTTATTTATTTGATTTTGAAGAGCACATTACTATATGTAAGAATTTGGAATTTTATATTCTTAAAGTTCTTCATTATTACAAAGATTATTAATAATATTAAGTTGTTTTATTAAATATTCCTAAATTAAAATTTTATTTATGTTAAGAAAATGTCGAGACAACAACAAAACCAAGCTACGATCATTAGAGATTTGTTAAAGGCGGTACAAGATTTGGGTAGGCAACAAGCACAGGTTGGTCCCCATGGTGCAAACGCTAACTACACCAGCTCAATTGTGGAACAATTTCATTGCTACAAACCCCCAATCTTTGATGGCAAGGCAGACCCACTGACAGCCGAAGAATGGATAAGAGGAATGGAGCGAATCTTCAAACATCTATCTTGCACTGATGCTCAAAAGGTGTTATGTGCAGAATTCATGTTGGTTGACGCTGCAAGCCACTGGTGGGAGTCTGCATCTCGTACTAGATTAGAAGCACAACAACGTGCTCTGATGTGGACACAATTTAAGGATGAAGTGATGGGAAAATACTTCCTCCAAGCTCTGAGAGATCAAAAAGAGATAGTATTCCTTCAACTTGAACAGGGAAAAATGAAGCTTGAGGATTATGAGAGAAAATTCAAACAACTCTTAAGGTATGCACCACACCTAGTGGACACTGAAGCAAAGAAAGTAAGGAGGTTCAAACTGGAATTGCGTCCTGAGATTGGTGGAATACTGGCATCCCACCAATTCACCATCTATAGCCAAGTATTGCAGACTGCCCAAGCAATCTCAAATAGGTTTGGAAATAGATCAAACTCCCCAGCAAGGGGCCGAGCTTTCAGGAAAGAGGAAATGGAATGGGTCCAACGAAGAGAAAGGAGAAGGACAGAACAAGAAGGCTAACTGCGGATCAAGTTTTGGAGAAGTCGTTCCACCTTGTCCAAAGTGCAAAAAAATGCATAGGGGTGAATGTTTGTTTGGGAAGCATGTATACTATAGATGCGGTAAAACCGGACATATTTCCAAAAACTACAAAGAGAGCCTTTCGAAGAAGAATGATGAGCAAGAAAAGAAGGGAAAGGCCAAAGTTTTTACTTTAGGCCAGAGTTTTTACTTTAGCCTAAGGACAGGCCACGAAAGACCCGAACGCAAGTAAATTCGAGGACAAAATTCTCTTAAGGATGGTAGATTGTAGCAACCAAAAAAATTTTATAGATAAAAATTTATTTATTTTTTATATTTTATAAATTCCTATTTTATTTGGGTCTAATAATTATATTTTCACAGATCAAGATTTAATATATCAATATTGGGCTTGTTGGATAGATCATATTAAATCATGAATTTTAGGCTCGAGAATAAGTTAATTTGGATAAGTTAGGCCAAAGATATCGCGGTTCTAAGAATAGATGTTATTTTAAATTGGTTTAGGATTTGGTGTAGTTGGAGCCACTAGTTTCACATGTAGATATATAGGAATTCTACCATGTAGTTGTAATTGTAGTGGTTGGCCATGATTCTACTTTTGATTTGATAAGTATTAAAATATTTTTGTCACAATCAAGTACACGCATTACATCATGATTTGCTTTATCAAAAAAATTTAGTTTTATCCAATTTGGTGATACACGTCTCTTTCATCCCAATTTCACCAAAATTCTATTGTCTTTTTTCAACTATAAATACAATGCCAAAAGCCTCATCATTGACTACCAAAAATAAATACAATACTGTTAGGAAAATGTGTAATTGGCAATCTGTGACCAAAGGACCTATTTGTCAACATTGTAAAGCCAAGGACCAAATTGTAAAGGTCTAATAGTTCAGGGACTAAAGTTGCAATTTAGCAAAGTTCATAGCATAGCTCTAGGGTAAAGTGGGATGCTTTGAAGATGCAAACGGCGCGTTGATTTCGCTAGAGTTTCGCCCTGACTTCGCTCGAGCCTAAATTGCAGAATAGACGTCGCTAGAGTTTCACTGAGCTGTCGCTCGAGCGAAGGTGCGTCGCTCAAGTTTCGCCAGCACCTCGCTCGACCGACGGTGTTATCTAGCCTTTGGAATTCCTCTCAACTTCCAAAGGATTAAGAACCTAATATTCATTCTTTTCATCTTTTATTAATTCTCATGGCTCTTTGAATAAAAACATCAACCCTCTCAAAACCAAAACACCCTTTCATATCTCCATATCAGCTTCCAGAAGATCGTCAGTTTGAAGATTTGGGAAGGGAATTGCTTGAAGAGCTGGAGTGCTTGGTGATTCACGGGAGGTAGAAGATATTCAAGGCTGGGATTTTGGCGCAGATCTGCAAAATCCAAGGTAGATGTGGTCGATACAGTAAGGAGGTCAGAGTATTGTTAGAATCAATAACGTCTGACGTACTGTAAGTCAATATCTTCTATAGTGGATCTCTACTGGCTTGTGCCCGGAGTTTTTATCCAGTTGGGTTTTCTCCGTCAACATTTTGTGGCGTTTTTACTGGTTTTTGTTATTTACTTTTCAACTGGTAATTTAACTTAGGTAGATAAAGTATGTGAATGAATCTGGACAATGCATAATTTATGTGACTTGTTGCATAAGTTAATTAATTGCCTTAATTCCGCATAAACACCTATTCACCCCCCTCTAGGTGTTGGTTGGGTCGAACTATAGCTTTTTCAAGTGGTATCAGAGACAAATCTCGAGTCCTGACGCATAGTTGTCTAGATGAGTCAATCACTGTCTGTACCTCCATTTTTCGGTGGAAGTAATTATTCTTAAGTCTTTAGATGAGCATGTTTAGGTAAGTGTGCAAAATGGTTGGAAACCTCCCTCCACTACCGTTTCTGGAACTATTAATCTAACTAACATATCACTGTGGACTAAGGATGAAATAGCTGAGTGTAATTGGAATAGCAAGGGTCTTCATGCCCTATTTATGGCCGTGTCTCCCGAAGTGTTTAGGAGAGTGTCAATGTGTGAAACTGCTAAAGAGGTTTGGGACATTCTTGAAACTACACATGAGGGAACTAAAACGGTAAAGACTTCTAAGTTACAAATGCTAGCTTCTAGGTTTGAAGAAGTGAGAATGAAGGATGATGAAACGTTTGACGAATTCTATGCTAAATTGAATGACATTGTTAATTCTAGCTTCAATCTAGGTGAGAGAATTCCCGAGTCTAAAATTGTGAGAAAAGTACTTAGGTCCCTGCCCGAGAGATTTAGGCCTAAAGTTACTGCCATTGAGGAAAGTAAAGACCTAGATGAAGTTAAAATTGAAGAACTGGTAGGATCCTTGCAAACTTATGAACTCACTGTCACACAACCTAAGAAAGGAAAGTCCATAGCCTTAAAATCCATCAAAGAGGATGAATCTTCTGATACTGAGTCACTTAGGGACGATGAAATTGCTTACTTTGTTAAGAGATTCAAAAAATTTCTCAAGAATAGGAGAAAGCCTCAGGATAGAAAAAGTGGAGCCCCTAGTAGTTTTTCAAAAGAAAAAATTGAAAAGTTTACCAATAAAGGGTCTAGTGATAAGCCT